ATTTGGTCCAGGGCGGTGTGCTTTGGTTACCGGCCCAAATCTTACCAAGGGCCCCATTTTTTGGAGAACCCGGCGGCGAAGCCCGTGGTGAAGGGCTTTCAAAATTGGGTGGAACCCGAAGGATTTTTTCCGTTTTCCCCGGCTTTTGTCCCTCCCCCCCCCCCCCCCCGCCCCGCCCCGCCCCGCCCCTCCCGCGCGCACAGGACGTTACCCTGTACTTTAACCGCAGCCGTGTTGGAGTGTTTTCTACCTACATGGTTGTCGAGAACCTCGCTAATCCTGCCGACATTAAGGTGAGCGATATGTTTCCCTTTTTTATCTTTCGGCGCAGGAGTAGTCATCTCCGAACAAAAGACTTGGACGTACACGCGTCAGTACTAGGTCCCCCAGACGTAGAATTCAAACGTGATCCCCTTTTTCTACGGTGGTGCAAACCGTTCTTTCTCCGGGCCGCGTGTTGGAGAGGCCAGGGGATTGTACAATCATGTAGCAGACCGTCGCTTGACAGCAGTGCAAATCAGTTCAGTCCACATTATGCCTAAAATAGCGCGATCTCGGCGCACGCCTGCAGATTTCGGTGTGAGTATATAGACGACCCATGGCTCCCAGACTGAGCACAGTAGTCTGCAGATATTTGCGAGTCAGGATGCAACCCCCCTCCACCCCGCACCCCGGTAGATATTTTGCGAATCAAGGTGGGACCCCCGTCCGCCCTGCCCTGAACCCACCGCCGGTTTTTTGTTCAGATGGTGCGTGTCGAGATGGAGGTGGTTGAAAGCGGCCCCAAAGACATGGTATCTCAGCTGTTCGAGGTGCTCGTATCCCCGGCGGTGCCCACGTCAACCCGCGAGCTCAGCACAGCAAGCGGGAGCTCAAACACTGGCGGCAGCTGCGGGGGCACCGGCGGCAGCGGCAGCGGCGGCGGCAATGGTGAAAGCAGCGGCGGTAGCGGAACAGTGAACGGCAGCGGGGGCGGCGGCGGCGGGTATGACGGAGGGCTTGGTACCGGCGGCGGCGGCAGCGGCGGTGGTGACAAGACCGACGGCGTTGTTGGGGCAGGCAAGGGAGGCGGAAGCGGGGCGGGAGTTGGACAAGACTCGGGAGGCGGAGGTGGTACCGGCGGCGGAGGAGGAGGAGGAGGGGGACGGGAGCCCCTCGTGCTGGACTACGGGGACGTGTACGAGGGGAAGCTGTACCAGCGGCGGTCTTTCGTGATCGTGAACCGCGCCGCGATGCCGCTGGAGTTCCAGCTGTCGTCGTCCCTGCCGGCGTCCGAGCTGAACTTCTCGCTGTCGGCGGCGACCCTGAAGCAGTTCAAGTCGGTCCACGTTGAGGCCAAGACCAGCCTGCAGGTAACAATTGAGGTCCCTTGTTCAGAAGCAGCCGGCTGGAGAGTGTACGACGTCGACGGCTGCACCGCCGTGGTTGGGCGGGGCCATCGAAGCATATGGGGACCGCTTGTTCTCGACTGAAAAACCTTCTTCAGAGCTACGTTACCAAGACGGCCAGTTGAACTGAAAGGGGTTGAGATCGCTGCTAAGACCGAACGCTCGATATGTCCCCTCCCCCCCCCCCCCCCCCGTTTAAAGTATTGGTGTTTTGATTGCTGACGTTTATGGCGTCCCCCTTTCTCTCCCGCCGCCGCTCGTCAGGTATACGCTCACTACCGGCCCGTGGCAAAGTCGCCGGCCGCGGTTGCCAGGAAGGGGTCGCAGCGCGCCCTGGATGTGTCGGCGGCGGCGGACGACCCGGGGAAGGAGGCCGAGGCTGTTACCGTCCGCGAACGGCTCAGTATCACCTGCCGCCTGGTAAAAGACTTCCAGCAGGAGATACAGCTCTTTGCAAGGTGACCAACGAAAAAAGAGAAGGAAACGATTGGTCGCGGCCAGTTGGTACCGAGTCTGGGCTCATCACGGCGGTCGGTAGCGGCGGAGAGACACCATGATAGTTGTTTAGGCTGTTTTTCGAAGGAGCTGCCCCTTGTCCCGTCCCCGTCTCCATCGCCAACGAGTCGCTGTTTATGCACATGTGGTGTACAGTGCAGGGCCTCCACGTCAGTAGTCCGACCAAAAAAAAAAGAGCAGGCCCGATGTTTTTATCGCAAACCCAGCCTGAATTGTGATGCTCTCCGCCCCCCCCCCCTCAA